TTTTAGATTAAAAAAATAATTCAGCTAGCTGTTTTGACCGTGGAGGTAATGCACAGTATACTCCTGTAGGAGCATAGGATATGAACTCGATAAAAAAATTCTATGGTGCCACGATCTCTAGTTCTCGTCACCCTTGCATTTTCTTAAAGGACCATGTCAACCCCCTCTCGTTCACGCAACACTTCCAAGAATTGAATTTAACACGCGGTTAGCACGCGGCCAGCCCGCATATGGTAGAAATGCAGGTTTGGTAATAAATATATTTTTTAAATATAATTTGATCTTAAATTTTTAAATATATATAACCTTTAACATGGAAATCATGAATATGAAAAATAAAAAAAGTTGAAAACTAGAAATAATATTTATACTAAAAACACATTTGGACTATTAGTAACATTTGTTTTCTGATGGACCACCGATCTCAATCCATCTTTGAGATGGATGCTTCATACCTCTGGACCACATATTGTAGAAATACAGTCCAGCCCACATGAAACAAATGTTCATAAATTTATTCATCCAGACATAACCAAAAATAAATAAAAAAAAGAAAGGGCAAAGAACATCGAGAAGACCACCCTGCCTTCCTCGAATGGCACTAGGCAAGAATATATCACCCAACTTATTCTAACATATATGTAATAGCAAATGCATTTTCAAAAGTTGCTACTTTACAATGTTGTACTTTGAATTTAGCGTTTTGGTGAACTTATGATCTCAACATGTGAGATATTAAAAAAGGAAAATGTTTTGGTTGGGCTACTGTCCAATTAAAATAAGTAGTCCCTTACCTCAAGGCTCACCCAAAAATTGCAGTTTTGGTGTTGAAAAACTTTCAAATCAATCATCTCGATCCACAAGATCTATACCATTTTTTTATCTTCAAATTTCATAATTGGTGTTGGGAATTGATTTTAGAAACATCATAGAGATTTTTTATGCCAAAAGTGTTTTCCAAACAAAGATTCATAAAATGAGAAACATAAATGTAGTTGAAAGCCATCACAAAAATTTTTAAGTTCCACATGCAAAAATGTATTTCTCACAAGATTTTGCAACACCAGTCTGGTTTCTAGTGAGGTTATTTGTGATGGCCATGCCAATTTCATAAAACTGCTGCTTTACTAAACCTCATCACATCCATAGTCATCCACCACCCACAAACTCGAAATTAGAAGTTCTTCGAAGTGGAAGTTATGAACTTTTGGAAGCTTGATATTTTGATATCTGAAAATATTTGACAGATTGTCGGGAATTCCAGGAAGTTTAGAAACCTTGTGTTTGATTGAACCTAGAGAGTCGGAGATCTAAAAATTAGCCAATTTCAACTAATCACGAGAGGGTACATTCGTTCTACGGTGGAGATTTTAAAATCGTAGGTGATCGACGTCATGTCTAATGAATATATGGTCTAGATCACATAAAAAAGAAAATGGTTACAGGTTACTACAGCATATTTAGTTGAGATCATGTTTTATTATCTTTATTTTTGTTTTTTCTATTCATTTAACCTTCTACTGCACATGAAAAAAGTATAAAATATTTTCTAATATAAGATGGCCATACCCTAAAACTTTTAGAGGTATTTTTTGTCATTTTAACTTGTTTGGATTATTCTCTATTTATTTCTTTTACAAATATGCTCAAATGAGGTGCACTCAGGCCTCAATTTTGATCTCTTGGAAAAAAAATAAAAATAAAATAAAATAAAATAAATTTGGATGATTATATTACCAATATTTTTTAAATGACCAAATAAAATAAAATAAAATAAATTTGGATGATTATATTACCAATATTTTTTAAATGACCAAATAGTCCACATTGTAGTTCACGTGAATATCAATATCAACTATGTGACTTTGAACAGAGCACTTGGTAGCACGTCTTGGGATTTGAGATTTATTTTCCTCTCTCTTTTTTAAATTTTTATTTTTATTTTTATGACGATACTTAGTTAATACTTGGGTGCCCAAAATATAAAATAAATATTTTTAAAAGAGCAAATTGACCAAAAATATCACTAGAATTCCAAGGGAATTTTGGTTATTTTAATTCTTCCAAATCATCTTCTATATTTTTAAAGTCGTGCCCTAATGAAATGCACAAACCTTCAAAATTTGTTCAGATATGAGTTTTAGAAAAGAAAAAAAAAAAAAAAATTTAATACAAAACAAATTTAAAATAATGTCACAGTCCATCAACCATTTCCAAACTTCAGTCTTCCATAGGGAGCATGGGACTAGTGGTATCATATTCTTTGGAAATTATAAATTCTAGATCAAGTTTTCTTACTATTGCACTTCTCATTATCAAACATAAAAGGGTTCGTAAACCTATAACTTCTCGCTCCAAAACCTGAAGTTCCATAAATAAAACTCACCATGAATGACGAACTATAATGGGTTTCTATATGGTACTTACCTCTAAATGAGCTCTTTATCATCATTTCTCAATTTATGTATAATACTTGCCTCTAAATGAGTTCTTCATCATCATTTCTCAATTTATGTATAATACTTGCCTCTAAATGAGTTCTTCATCATCATTTTTTCCGTATGTCGCTTTTTTTGTTAGCTTTCATGCGTTTCTTGTTGGAAGATGGTTGGGTGAAAAAAATAGAAAAACTATAGGGAAAATATCTCGATACATTTTATTTTTAGATTTCATTTCACAATAAATTCAAGGTTTTAAAAGATATCTTGGAGTATAAAAATTATATATTTTATTTCTTCTAACCCCCTTAACTACTTTAAACGTGTTTTATTAGGCCAAACAAATCTAAAACAGTCATGCATTTTCTAAAAATCATCCTCCTAAACTTCTCTCTCTTCCTCTCTCCCCATACTCCTTATCTCTTTGTCTTTCATATATCTAACCTTTAATCTCTCTCCTCCCACTCTCTCTTCATGTTTCCCATCTCTCTCACCTCACACTCTCTCCTCCCAAATACACGGTAAGTATAAATAGTGCAAGAAGGGAACGAGAGATGTTTAGATAAACCCAAGAAGGGAAAGAGGTATTTAGTGGCTCTCCATGTTTTAAATACACATTAAGTATAAGGCACATGTTTCCCATCTCTCTCCCTTCACACCCCCTCCTCCCAAATACAATGTAAGTATAAGGCACATATTTCCCATCTCTCTCCCCTCACACCCCCTCCTCACATGTTTCCCATCTCTCTCCCTTCACACCCCCTCGTCCCAAATACAATGTAAGTATAAGGCACATATTTCCCATCTCTCTCCCCTCACACCCCCTCCTCCCAAATACACAGTATGTATAAGGCACAGTCATCTCTCTCCCCTCACACCCCCTCTCAAATACACAGTAAGTATAAGGCACAGTAAGTATAGAGAAGGGAACGAGAGATGTTTGGATAAACCCAAAAGGGAAAGAGGTGTTTGGTGGCGAGAAGTTTTAAGGATGAGAGAGATAGGTGTTTGGTGGTGAGAGGTTATAGGGAGGAGAGATAGGTATTTGGTGGTGAGAGGTTATAGAGGGAGAGAGAGGTGTTTGGATAAACACAAGAAGAGAGAGATAGTTGGATAAATACAATAAGAGAGAGATACTTGGTAGTGAGAGGTTACTAGAAAAAGTGAGAGAAATGTGTTTGAATAAATAAACACACGAAGAGAGAGAAATGTGTTTGGATAAATACAGGAAGAGAGACATGTTGGGCGGTGAGAGGTTACTATGAGGAGAGAGAGGTGTTTGAATAAACATTTGGAGGAGAGAGAATGTGAAACACATACCAATAGAGAGAAAGAGAGAAGTTTGGGGTACATAAATGAAGAGACAAAAGTGATTAAGTTTAGAAAGAGTATGTCTTTCTCACATTTGTTTATGTTAAAAAATATGTTTAAATTGGTGGGGTTTGGAAGATATTTTTTGAAATCTTCTGTTTATTAAGAAATAAAATTTAAAAATAGAGGATATGAAGATATTTTTCCAAAACTATAATAAGTTTTTTTTGTTGTTTTCGGGCACTCACTAGTGCCTTTTTAAGACAATATTTGCCTCCTTTCAATACTTTAAACATTATGCAAAAGATGGGCTAATTCTTCATCAAGATATAGGAAAACAAAAGGTCAATTTTTGCGCTTCAAGGTCTTATGCTCCAGAATAAGAAGCTTACAGTAGAGCACCAAAGTATAGTATTTCTAAAGCGAGAAAGTTCGAGAACTGAAAAAGAGTGAAAAAAATGGATAGAGAGAGTGACATGAAGGGAGGGATGAGTGCCAAAGTAATGTAAAAGTGGCATATCACAAAATGAGAAAATCAAACCCATTATATGGTGCAATGAGTGGCTTGCAAGTAACTATTCAAGCCACCGTCAATAGTTATCTGTTGGATGCGAAGTAGTTATATGCATTGTCCTTTGCCTCTATAGTTGCGATCTTGTACATACACATCATATTTCAACAAGTAGTGATTGTTGGATATCACATACAATACGCTTGCACCTCTCTACATATATGTGTGAGTACGAGTCATATCTTAGTAAAAATAAATCAAGCTTGAAACGTGTAAAGTATGCTATCAAGTGCCCTTGCACACTTATACATGCCACAAAATTTAAATGCTCCACACATGCACCTGCACTCTCACTTTTATTCTAATAAGATATGAGTGTTTACATATCAATCGGTCAATTCTCATTCGCTTCTTCAATGTGACATTTCTTGTTGGAAACCCTCACCTTCTCTCTCAACTTATTTAATACTTAGAAAAATCATACAAAACATTATGATATTTTGAAATACAACAAATTATTTTCAAAATAAAAAATAGTAAAACACTTGATCCATAAATTTCACAAAAAATAATTCTCCAAAATGTGGTATTGGCTTTTGGCGCCAGTTGCAGTCATTGCCAAAATACAGCGAAACTTCGTATAATTTCGGTTCCTGGTTGATATTTCGTCCTCACGGAGACTTTTTTCAGTAGTTTCTAAAATGCCAGGGGCCTTTCATGGAACAATTTATTTTCGTGCCGTACAGTCAGTAGCAGTCTCTCGCTCCCTCCTCCTCATCGAATCTCTTCTCTCGCTACGTTCAATTCAACTCGCCTCAAAAACTCGAAGCCCCCTGCTTTCTCATTTAGAGCAAAGCTCTACGGAAAGCAGCCATGGCGGCTCTCTGATTAACCATTTAAACCAGGTAGAACCCTAACCCTAACTCAATTTCCTTCTCATTTATACTGAATGTCCTCCCTCTAAATTAGATTATAGAGTTTTTCCCTTCATTTGCGGATCTAAATCTAAGAGGCTTTAGAAGTCTAGAACTGGCGGTTTTTCCCTTAATTTAAAACCTGGTTCTTGGTAAGCCAGAGAGAAAGCCTTGGCTGAAACTCCATTTCTCAAAATTAGGGTTTTGTTCGACCCACTTCATGATCTGATCCAGGCCTCTTATCTGAATCGGGAATGGCTTCTTCGGAAGCTGATTCCCGTTTAAGCCTGGTTGTAATCCCTTCTCTAGAAAAGATCATCAAGAACGCGTCATGGAGGAAGCATTCAAAGCTTGTTCATGAATGCAAAGCAGTGGTCGAAAAGCTAGGGCTACAAGATCCAAAGCAACAAGAACAAGAAGCAGAGCCCTCTCCTCCTGGACCTTTACAAGACAAAACCCTTATTTTTAGTCTAGCAGACTCTGAAACCATTCTCAGGCCTTTGATCTTGTCATGCGAATCTGGTTTTGTCAAGATCGTCGAGCCAGCTCTAGACTGCATCCAAAAGCTCATAGTTTTTGGGCACCTAAGAGGTGAGGCTGACACGAATGGAGGGCCTGAAGCCACAGTTCTTCATAACTTGATGGGATCGGTGTGCAAATGCCACGATCTCGGTGATGAAGGAATAGAACTCATGGTGTTGAAAACCCTACTTTCAGCTGTGACCTCAATCTGTCTGAGAATTCATGGAGATTGCCTTTTACAAATAGTTCGAACTTGCTATGATGTGTATCTGGGAAGCAAGAATATGGTGAATCAAACCACTGCAAAGGCCTCACTGATCCAGATGCTGGTTATTGTTTTCCGAAGGATGGAAGCCGATTCCTCAACTGTTCCGTTACAACCAATTGTGGTTGCAGAATTAATGGAACCAGCTGAGAAATTGGGAGCTGATTCGAACATGACCCAATTCGTTCAGGGATTCATTACTAAGATAATGCAGGATATCGATGTGGTTTTAAACCCTGGAACACCAGTGAAATCAGCTGGGGGAGCACATGATGGTGCATTTGAATCCACAGCTGTAGAGACTACGAATCCAGCTGATTTGCTCGAGTCTACTGATAAGGATATGCTTGATGCTAAGTACTGGGAGATAAGCATGTATAAGACTGCTCTTGAAGGAAGGAAAGGGGAGTTGGCAGAGGGGGAGGTTGTGGGGGATGATGATTTGGAGGTTCAGATCACGAATAAGCTCAGAAGGGATGCTTTTCTAGTTTTTAGGGCTTTGTGCAAGCTCTCGATGAAGACCCCACCGAAGGAGGCCACTGCAGATCCATCTCTTATGAGGGGGAAGATTGTTGCTTTAGAATTGCTGAAAATTTTGCTCGAGAATGCTGGTGCCATTTTCAGGACGAGTGAGAGGTATTGAACCTCTTACAATTCCCTTCCTTTTGTTGTTGGTTTCAATGACTTTTTTGTTCCTGGGCAATTCATTGAGATTTAGGGAGTTTTACTGTTTGTTGATATTTCTCCTTTTCATTTTAAGAATTTGGTGTTGAGTTGCCTCTTGTGCTTTTTCTTTTTGACATATGCTCTTTGAATTCTCTATCCTTTTCCGTGTAGTAGGTTTATTAGACTGAAATAGGTGTTCAGATCTTTTTTTATTTTTTGGTTTTCTTGGGGTAGGAGGGAATGTTCACCTCAATTTGCTTCTTTAAAGGTGGCATCTTGGGTTATCTTAGTATGCATTCATTTAGTAAAGTGCCGCTTCATGTATGGGCTTTGCCTGGCTGTGATAGTGACGTTTTAGCATTCTTTTCAATTTTTTAGAAAGTCATTCTCAAATTGCCCGTAAAGGAAAGAGAGCAAATGTCGTCCTACTTTTCTGACCTCTCATGCTATGTTATTTAGTTTCAGAATCTTCATTTTCTGGCTTTTTTGTGTTTTTCCCCCAATCGTGTTGATCTAGTTGCTATAATTTGAATTTGGTAGGTTAGAACATCAAAATATACTTGCATAGCTAGTTTTTGGTTTTTTTTAAGAATCACAATCAAACTTGGAGTATGAACTGGATTCATTCAGGATGAATTTGGAAAAAGGATTTAGAGAATCACTAAAGTTACACAAAATTAGGATATATCTATGTTGTTTGGGGTTCCCAGTAGGAGGCACATATTCTTGGTGTTTTCTTCAGAAAAATACCCAAAAAATGCGAAAGGTTTTGTGCCTTTGAGATTCCTTTGATTGCCTAGAGTTTAGTTTATTCAGGGCTGGTTGCATTCAGGAGAATATGGTGAACTTCCTCTGCTACTCCAGTTTGAAAGTAGACATTTGTTGTCCCTTGTTAGCAATGTTCCAAAAAGCGCTAGGTGGGTCCTAGGTGGCCTGGGGTGTCCAGGCCACCCAGCGCCTAGGTAAGCGCCCAAGCAGGTGCCCAGAACCTTGGTGGCCCAATTGGGCTGGGCGCCCAGAACCTGGGCGGCCCAGTTGAATCCAAAAAGGATTTTGCAGTTATGTCAGTTATATATATTGTATAAAAATTAAAAGTTAGGTATAGAGGCAAACCTTTCATCTTTTTTCATTTTTACCATACTAAAAAAATTGTTTCTTTCCTCTTTAACAGCATCATGAGTCTTTTACATGAGGCAACATCCCCCTTGATACCGGCAAGATGTTTCTTGAAGCGGTTTAAGCCCCTTTTTGTATCCTTATCACAAAACTTGCATCTTATGCAATTTTTATAATTAGGATCTGGGTTGTAGCCATATTTCCAACCGGGATCACCACTCCTATTAGATCCCGAAGAAGACATCTAAAAAATAATGCAATTTACTAAAGCAATAAAAAAAATCACTTTCTTTGAGTTTGATTGCTCAATCTTCACACTTCTACCTCAAAGATTTGCAAAACATCAAAAATTAAATCTAATATCAATGGGTGATGTTTTGATCAATTTTTGTTAACTTTGAGAAACCATTTGATCCTAAAGAATTCACCAAAAACTAGTTTTTTGGGGGCTTTCTCTCTCTAAAATGGGCTCCAATAAGTTTTAAGTTTCAAATGAACATAAAACCCCAATTTTTGGCTCTTTAATTTTTAAAAAATGGACACAAAATGCCCCTACCGAAACCCACGGGGCGTAGGCCCTGGGTGGCTGCCCTGGGCTGGGCGTTGGACGCCCGCCTAGGCGGGTTTCATACCACTTAGGCGGCCTCCCAAGGTCGGCCGCCTAGGCCTGGGCAATGCGCCCAGGCCTTTCGGACCACCTAGGCGATGCTTTTTGAATCACTGCTTGTCAGTCTTGGTATATTAATTTATTTCCTTTTCGCCATATATTCTTTGGTTAGTGCCTCATGTTCTGCTACTTTTTCTGATGTCTCAGGTTTTTAGGAGCAATCAAGCAGTATCTATGTCTTTCGCTGTTGAAGAACAGTGCCTCCACCCTTATGATTGTTTTCCAACTTTCTTGTTCCATTTTCATAAGCCTGGTTTCGAGATTTAGAGCGGGATTGAAAGCTGAGATTGGAGTATTCTTTCCAATGATTGTCCTGAGGGTGTTGGAAAATGTGGCTCAGCCAAATTTTCAGCAGAAGATGATAGTTCTCCGTTTCTTGGAGAAGCTTTGTGTTGATTCACAAGTGCTGGTAGACATATTTATCAATTATGATTGTGATGTTCATTCATCGAACATATTTGAGAGGTACGTATTTTCTCTTTGCATCAGATCCTTGTGATGTTTATGGTTCCTCTTATTTGTTGATTCTTGGTCATGAGGATCGTGTTCTGTTTTTACAACAGCCTTCTATTACGTTTGATTGTTAAATATCTGACCTAGTGTTTTCCTTTTTTAAGTATGTTATTTACTTTCCATTGCTATTGGAACATAGATGTTGGTGTTGGTGTCACTTGTGGAAATCATGAGTTTGACCTGGCCGGCCTCCAAAACATGGAAATGTAGGATTTGTTGTGTAGACATGACATCTCTGAATTTTAGATACATCACTTGAGGGATAATTTCATCATCATCATCCGAGCCTTATCATCATCATCATCATCATCATCATCTCAGCATTATCCCATCATCATCCCATCTATTTAAGGGATAATTTCATTAAAGAAAAGAAATAGAAAATAATGAAACGATAAAAAATAGTACAATGCTATTTCCAGGCAATGTTACATAGAAAGCAACACAGGTGTTGTGTCTAGTACGTCTTGGATCTCCAGTACTTTGGCTCAAAAATCCAGTATGATCTTGAGACATTGTACAGCCATAAATATAAATTTGGCATATACTAAATCATAAAATAGTTTTAAAATATAATAAATGAAAATTTTAAAACAAAAAATATAAAAATGTAAAATATTGATTTTTTTGTAATAAAATTGAAAAGATATTCCATTATTTTATGCAAATACAATATAATGAATTTCAAACCTCTTTCATAGTTGTTGTTGATAGAACCATTGATAATTTGATATATCCTATGATGGTGCAAGTTCAAACTCAACAAAGTGCGATTTAAAATTTTAAAATATAAGCCACATTTAAATTTTATTATTATGATATGGAAAAAGTTTATATAGAGCCGAGGCTCTAAACAATCAAATTAGAGCCCACCTCAAAAATTTCACTAGAAGAGATTATTTTGATGCCCAAACATCCTCAAATTGATCATCTCGACATCAAGATGCATGGGTATGAGAAAAAAATGGATTTCAAGTTATGGAAATAGTGCATCTTGTAACACACTTTTGGACCTTCAATTTTCAAGATTTTCAAGTTTTCATAGATCTGTACAATCTACACTATTTTTTAAGCTTTAAATTTTATAATTGAAGATAAAAATATATTTTAAGGCTATCACAAAGATTTTCAGTATTGAAACCACATTTCCCGACACTATTTGAAGGTGCGCTTTACTTTGATTGTTTAGAGCCTCGTCTTTTTACAAACCGCACCCTTATGATATTAATAAATATATATCAAACATAGGCATACTTTGTATGATTTAATGATTTGTAAGATGGTTTTTTTTTTGAATCTGTTGTTATGATATTTAAATATTTTGACTTTTTCACTCTACTAAATGTGTTGTTTATAGGAGAGTTCCGTTTTTTTAGTCCATTGAGTAGTATTTAAATATGAGAGTTATTTTCTTTAACCTGTGTAGAATACCGGGATCTATTCGCTTTTGACTTTTCTACTAATAAATGCACTGTTTGAGCCATATTAGGCCATAGTGTTGCACTTTCTCATGAATAAATATTATTATTTCTGAAGTCAACACAGTTTAAGCTGAAGAATGGCAGGTTATGAATTCAAAACAACTGAAGAATGGCCCCTTTAGAAAACAAGAAAGGGAGACAACATGTCTGAATGTTAGACACGCTCGATGTAGTGTTAACACTTTAATTTCCATACGGCATGTAAAGTATGTTGGTAACATATTGACACATGTCCAAGTGTTGACATGTGTCGACATCTGACCCCAAAGTAAAGTTAAGGTGTCTGTGTAACATTGTTCCCATGATGGTATAATTGTGAACATGAACACATATTTGTGTATCTTTGGATGTTTATGTATCGATGCTTGTCTTTAGATGCTAGATGTATAAATACACCCACACAAAATGTGTACATGTGCACCTTTTTGTCTATGGATGCACTTGTTGTAAGCAGGCAGGTTGATGTGCATGGTTGAAAAAACATAATTGTTACGAAGACACAGATATGTGTCGGTATGACATGGATATGAGTGTCAGAAACACCAACCCCATAATTGGCCATTTAGAGAATTTGTTACATCATTTAGATAAGGGGGGAGGTGGGCTTTTAGGTGACACTTCTATTCTCATGAGTCACGATGAGATTTCACTTAAGTTAAAAAGTGTCAAAATTTATGAGCTGTTAGGCACGAGTATCGTATCCTTGGTTTGTTAATATGCACTAAACGCCTTGGACACGTGTGTATGTTGCATAGTAATAAATACTGTTAGGCGCCCATGTAATAAACGAAAAAATTTGATTGTGGTTCCCTTCCCCCCCTCCCGTTTTTCTTCTTTTTTTGGTTGATAGTTTTCTATGCCTCCCTTTTCTAAGCAGTAACTTCCATGCGTGACGGATTTAGAACTGCTTCAGGATTGAAATCAGCCATTGACATTCTTGGAGTGAGTTGCTGGAAGGGGGTATAGAATAAAAGGGACACAATGTCTAGCTAATGGAGATGTCTTAAGTTGTATGGGCATGTGACCATTGGGAGTTGTGGCATCCCGTTTACTTGGACCAATGTCGTGGCCCTAGAGCCTACATAAGTTGGAATTCAGAGTCTACATAATAACTAGGGAAAATATCTCGGTATCCCCTATTTTTGGCTTCCATTTCTCAAGAGACCCAAGAATTTAAACTATTTCTTGCGGCATAAAGTCTCTATCTTTTCTATCTTCCTACCTGCTAGACCCCTTTGACCATACATTATTAACCTAAACATTTTGTTAAATGACTCCATCTTTATCTCTCTTAAAACTCTCTCTCTTCTCTTTCTCTCTCTCTGAAAACTTCGTGTCATACCTCTCTCTTTTGAAATTGTGATAGAAAGCTTTCCCAAATGAGAACATGAAAACTGCACACATATTTAAAGGAAAAGAGTGAGTTGCTTCTTTTTACAGGCCCTCTATGTAAGCAACGCCAGTGGCCTTCAACCACTCCCCTCCCTGTATGAACTCCCTCACAGTAAACTTCTCAGCCTCCTTCGCATCAGTTATCACATGGTAGCCCGGCTACTTCACGCGCCCACTTGTTCCCACACCTGGTCTGCTGTTCATGTACTCTGCATAGTATAATGTCTTCAATGCAAATTCCCCACTCCTGGCAGCCATCTTTCTGCCGCTATATGGTCCTCGATGTTATTCTGCATATATACAGTTCGAGAATCTTCTTTCCATGGTCGTCTCAAGTAGGTGGGGAGCTTGTTCTTGACGGGTTCTAAGTCGGTGCTAGCTTGAATTAGCGAAAATTGGATAGTGGTGCCTTTGTTTTGGTTGAGGTCAGTATGCCCTTGGGTTGTTATAAGGTTTTGTTGGTTGGACATGGGCTTGCGTGCGATGATGGTGCAATTCTGCAGTACGACAGCAGCATTACCAAAGATGAAGTCGATGGTGCCGGAAGTAACAGAGTCGCGGTTGAATTGACATTGGGAGTGGGCATAGAGAGTGTCCTGGTAGGCTTCAATGCGGCACCAGTTTATGATAGACTTGTCAACGCCCACGTGCAAGGTCACTGCTCGGTGCTTCTTGGGGCCAGTGGTGTTCTGGAAGCCGATGTCCTGTGCTATGAAGCCTTCTCCCACTGCCTCTCTCTCTGTCACCTCTCTCATCCTCTCTCTTTGGATGTTTCCAACTCCCAATTTGGTTGCCTTTAAATTCGGATCTCCAGCTTGAGCCATCCATATTTCTCTCTCTCGAGTTTCAGGCAGAAAGAGGAGAGGGGAGAGAGATACGGGGCTCCTTCATTAGCCAAATTACCGGCCTCAGCCCTCGCTAGAACTTGCTATCCTTCTTGTCGTTGTCTTCCTCCTCTATAGGGATGGAATCTAGCGACCTTCGACCCGTCGGAAAACCGCTTTCACTCGTCGAGAATCCACCTTCCTCCTCCATTAAACCACCCACCTTTCCCTCTACATAAACCGATATCCTCTCTCCACCACCCAAGAACCGCCCTTGATCACCAAAAAACCAATATTCGTCGCCAGAAAACCACCCATCATCACCAGAGTCCATGCTCCTGTGGTCGGAAATTACCACATGTTGGCCGGAAAAAGCACCATTTGCGTTGCCTGTGCGAAACCCGTCAGCAAGACAAGAGGCCTCTTGCCATCCTTGCTCCTTCTTTGGCTTCCATGGTTTAGATCCCCTTTAGCTTTCCTATCAATGTTGGTCATCTCCTTCATAAAGCTCCTCTCCTCCTCCTGAGAGAGAGAGAGAGAGAGAGAGAGAGAGAGAGAGAGAGAGAGAGAGAGAGAGAGAGTAGTAGTAGTAG